TTGACTATTACAGATATAAAACATTGCCGTCGTCACAGAAAACACTGTTTCACAGAAAGTAAAGGATCTAGAATCCTAGGGCGTCTATATCAAGGAACAAGAATCAAGATAAGCAGTAATGGAACAACAAAGACTGTTAAGGAGGCTGAGCAATATGAATCTAGACAAGGAGTTTAGGTATTGAGCAAGGAGACTCAACTGGAAGAATGGAATTTACTCTTTTGTCAAAATGCTTACTGAAGCCCTGCAAAGAATTATTTAAGAATTCAACCCAAACTAGTATCCATGTTAAATTGTGTACTTTATCTCATTATGTGATAAAATTGTTAAATGCTTTTGTGGGGTAGAAGGGGCCATTGGAAAGATTTCATGGAATGAGACTGGGATAACTTAGTTCATGAAGTATTATTACTAGATTGCATGGTGGTAGTTGGAATATGGAATGCCTGTTTTCTGTTTCTCATTTCACTGCCCTTCCATGACCCTTTAAGATAATAAAAGTATGCATTGTGATAATAGTGGTCACATTCCTACAGTGCTTAGGTGTATTTCAGCATCTCTTTTTATGTATTAAGAGAATAGAGTAAAAGGCAAATGACTAGTTTATTCAAACTGAGGCAACAAATCTGAGATCTCTAATCTTGAATCTCATTAGAACAGTTTTGGATTCCTTAAGCAAATGTGACTCAGATTGTAGATCCTAATGTGCATTGGAAACAATTGAAACATGTATGGATACAATCCCAGATACAGAGAACAGTGTTAATGTGGTTGCAGCACAGAGCATTTTGGTTAGACGATTATAATAGCAGCTTACTTATACTTTTGGTGAGATGGTGTAAGCTAATGATGTAGCCATTAATTTGAATTTAGCAGACATTTTAAATATAGGTTTCTCTTACAGAGACAAAAGTTGCAATTTAAAGCTCTTTGGTGGTCTAAAAACAGCTTAATTCTGTAGTAGCATGGGAATAAGTACTAATCCAGCTTATACAGTGATTGTACTATGTCATGTTTGTGAAAGATTGCACAACCGCTTTCTCTGGTTTTTATGTTAATTTAAAAATATTAAACATAAAACCTTATAACATCTTCATGCTGAGATAAACTGTTCAATTTAACTTGTGCTCAAGCAGCAAACTGTCAGGAATTATCTTGTTCCTAGTGGTTTTTGCTATCACCTTGTACCCTTTCCTGTCAGAGACACAGTGTGGGATGATAAAGCTCAACTTGTTAGGATTTATTGCTTAAATAATACCTGAGGCAAGAAGAACAGTGGAAGCCTAGAGGTTAGCTCGCTGCTGATTGAGTGATGTCATTTATTGTATTAACTTTTTTTTTTTTTGATTACTGGAAGTAGGCAAAGTAAAAATTGCCTATCAGTCTTACCTGCGTTCCTTTTGTGAGCATATTCATTGCTTTTTGGGGGTGTCCTTGACTTACACATTTATGGAACTGCTTGCTGTCCAATTTAACTACTATTTTACAAGTGAAAAAATAAAGAAGAGATGTTTTCCTAATGATGGAGATAATTTCCACAATTTAGAAGTAGTGAGGGCTATTTTAGGATCAGTTATAAAAATAAAATGGTTTTCCTTTTAATGATTTAACAAACTGAAGGAAGTTTTGGTGTGGGCAGTTTCAAATGGGTAGTATTATGAAAATTATGAAAAATGATTATGAAAATCATTGCCATTTCACTTCTGAATGTATTACATTCTTTAATTTAAGAGGTTTTATGTGGAAGGCTCAACTTTAGATCTGGATTCCTTAATTATGGATCAGCTAGCAGGTAGGGAAGGAGAGGAGGTGTATGGTAGGAGTAGAGTGAAGGACTCTCCTTGGTTAAACATTTGCTAGAGATGGTCCATCCTGAGGATAATTCTCATATAGGAAATTAACAATTGGGTTATGACTAGAAATACATCTATAATGGGTTATTTATATAATGGGTTTTATATAATTTTACATTATCTTATATTATTTATATATATTATATGTTTTATTTTTATTTTAATTTTATATAATTTTATATTATTTATATATATATTTATATATATGATTTTATATAATTTTATATAATTTATATAATATGCATTTATTTATATAATGGGTATTTTCCCTTCTACTTACTGCCATTTAATGCATAGTCCCTCAAGTTTGTATTTTGTAAATGTATAACTGAACAAAAATATACCATTAATTTAGATTAATCAATTGTTAACATTTTGTACATTGTTTATCTCTATGCAAATATATACACATAAGTATTTATTGTTATTAGTAGCCTTTTAAGTGAACCATGGAAGAATTAGTTGTAGACATGGTGACAGTTCACATGTAAATAATTCAAAGTGTCTCCTAAGAATAAGTATATTCTTGTACAAGATCATAATACAATTATTACACTTGAGAAATTTAAGATTGATAAAAATTTACAGTCTTATATTGAGTCCATATTCAGAGTTTTTGTCCTTATAATATCATTTATAATTGTCTTTTCCCCATCTAGTATCCAGTCAGGAATCACACATTAAATTTTGTTCTGTTATCTCTTTATTTTCCTTTAATCTAGATTTTTTTTTTTTTACTTTATGACTTTGACAGTTTTGGAAATCAAACCCTGTTATTTTGCAGAATGTTTATTTGATTGTCTCCTCATGACCAAATTCAGATCAGGCCTTTTTGGCAGGAATACTACCATTGGTGATTTGTATCTTTGTCAGTGTATCACATTGGGAAATACATATCACTTGTCCTATTATTGTTCATATTAAGTTTGATGACTTGGGTAAATTGATGTCTACCAAATTTGTCCACTAAGGTACCATTTTTTTTTTTCTTTATAGTTAATAAGTAATATGGGGACTGCATTTAATGACTTTTTCAGCCTCATATGTGAAAACCATTGAGCTTGCTCAGGTCTCATGATTAAGAATGAGTCATTGCTTGTAGTAATATTGTTTGGAGGGAGAGGAGGGGATATTACTCAATAATGAGACCCAAAAGTCACCATCCATTTTCTCTTAAGGAAAATATTGATTGATTGAGATAAATATTTTATTGTTTCGTTTACTAAGGATCAGATTTTTAGATAAGCAAATATCTTCATCTTTCAGAATTTTCAATCCAAGCTTTAGAAAGGCTTATAGTTGATGGCGGCGGTAGGCATATTTTTGGACAAAATGGGGCATTTTTTCATCATAATTTTTCTGCTTCCTTTAGTTGAGTACAGACAATCAGGAGAAACAAATACATCTCCTTTGTAAGATGTTTTACTTCAAAGCATTAAACCATGACATTAATACAGCAGTGTGGGTTTAAAGAGAGATCACTGCCTTTTGGTCTTCGGTGCCTTTTTTAGTCCATGAAGAAGACACTTGAATTCCTGTTTATGATATATGCACTTATCATGTAATCATTCTTCTTATGGGAAAGGCTAGTGCCGCAGATCATATAAACACCTGAAGTTAGCCATTTGGCTTGTCAGCAAGGGAGAATTTATAGTAGTTGTAATCATGGTAATAACAAGTACGATATTTTGTATTTATTAAGTACAGAAAAAAAGCATTTGTAATGTAAGTGGTCCACAGCCAATTCATATCCGTGGTGTAATGAAAGTACTTCAGGCTTAGAAGATCAGGAGTCTCTGCTTTGGCACTTTACACCAGTGTGATTCTGGAAAAAAAAAGGGAAAAAAAAAAAAAAAACCTCTTAACCTTCTTGAACCTCATTTTTTAAGAATGGGAATTAAAGCTGTAAGGGTCAAATGATATTACATTATGTTATAAAGGTGGCATTCCATCAAAATTGTGCCATCTAAGTGTCCTCAGCTGTTCAGGGACTGTAATTTGTTCCTCTTTTGTATCCATATGTGGTATACCTCGTTAGGGGAACATTTCCAGGTTGTCCTAGATAGTTATTCTTCTTTCTTGTTTGTTTCTTTTAGTTGTTCATATCACTGTTGCAGGCAGCATTATCCGGTGGGCTCTCTTGTTTCATTGTTTCTGTTCTTTGTTAGACTATGGCACCCAGTAGGCATTTAGTAAATATTTGCGGAGTGAATGAGTGAATAGACACTTTCATTTATAACCATGGTAGGTAAGATTTCATTTCCTTATTTCCACGAAGATAAGGAATCAGCTTTCTTCTTTTTTTTTTTTAATATTTATGTTTTATATAAGGAGTTTTACAGATTATACATCTGGTGCCATTAGCAGTCCAGTAATGGAGAATAAAATATTTGAAAAAACACAAAGATTGCAGAACAGTTTAAAAAAGGGAGGGGGAGGAGGGACAGTGAGAAAACATGCCAATAGAAAAAGACCACACTCGATAAGTCTATTGCATAAATCAAAAGGGTTTATGTCATAACATGAACATGTGCCATTTCTGCTCGTATATTGAATTTCAGTAGTTGGTTGCATAAAGAAGTAAAGTGTAATGAAACTGGCAAGCAAAGTATTCCCCAGTCAGCCTTATCTTTGTTCCATTTGTCCTTCAGATAGAGCATTTCTTGCCTTTTTCAATAAAATCCGTCTGGCTTTTTTCTTTTTCTTTTTTTCTTTTTCTTTCCTTCTTTTTTCCTTCCTTCCTTCCTTTCATTTTCTTTCTTTCTTTCTTTCTTTCTTTCTTTCTTTCTTTCTTTCTTTCTTTC